AGTCTTCTCTAGCAGTACTTCTTAAACTGTGGGTCACAATCCCATATGGGGTTGCAAAAAATTTGGCAACAGTAAAAGGTTTCTGAATGAGTAACGACCAAAAATTAACTAAAAATCAAATGCATAATGAATCTGAGGTGTTTCTAGCATCACTTGCCCGTGTTGCTTTGTGCAACTTCCCTGCAGCCTTGGTTCGTAACACAAAGCACGAGCACTTTGCATTGTGAATGAAATACCAAGGAACCCCAAACCTGTGGAAAGGACTCGTGAGTGGAAAAAGTTTAAGAAGCCCTGATCTAGAGAGAGCCAAGATTGTAAAGATTCTGAGAAGAGCAGCATAGGAAGATTAGTTTGTTGCCAATGGAACAGGAATTCCAGAGGGCACAATGGGAAAAAGGGCCAGACTAGGATGGGAACACAAGAAATGGGGCACACCTGAGCCATCGCCATCTCCAGCCTGTCAGTAATGATGATATGGATGGGTATGAGAGAGTGGTAGCCAAGCTTTGGTCTGGACAGCTGGAGACTGAATCACAGGGATTTTTAGGACAATAGGTTGTCCTATCTTTTACCAAATAAGCAATCATTCCATGAGTAAAAGGCAGAGGGGTGAGATGGCAGGCCAGGTAAAGAGTGTCTGGTCCAGAGTGTGGTTCAAAAGCAAGGTTGGTCAGTGGCTGGGTGTGTGCCTGAGACCTTTAAGCCAGGATGGGTACAGAGGGGTGAAGAACACTTGACTTGCAATCACCAACCAGGTCAACTATGGCAAGATCTTATTTTTCTCCCTGGTTGCAGAGCTCTGAGAGGCTCCTGCACTGATGGCTAGGCAGGTGTCATAAGATCATAGATTTAGAACTGGAATGGACTTTAGAGGCCATCTAGATTGCACAGTTTTGAGGTGTCTATGAACTCTACATTGTATATTAACTCTTATCATCCTTCAATTAATTGATTTGTTGTTGTTCATTCTTTGTTCTAGAAAGAGGACCAGTGGTGTTACAAAGATGATGAGCAAACATTTGGTGTTGGTCATCTATAAGCAGGGCCCTGTGCTGAACACTGAGGAGGAGGCAGAAAATGACACACAGGCCCTGGCCTCAAGGAGCTTACACTCTAGAGGTGAAGCAGGGAGCACATAATCATGTCCTGTGGCTCTAGGCTTTAGGAAAAGTCCCAGGAGCTCCAGAATTTCAGAGGTCAGGGAGGTAGCTGCCTAGAAGAGATGGCGTTTGGGCCACCAAAGGCTGGGCAAGATTTAACATGGTCTGCTGTCCCCTTCAAACCCGACAGAAGCAAGAAAGTCTAAGGTTGGATGGAAGAAATAGTAAGTAATAGTCTTGAATCAGTTAATCTATCTACCAGTCAACAAGCATTTATTAAATACCATGTGTTTAGTAGGGCCTCTGGGCACTGTCCAAAGTACTGGGGACACATAAACAAAAATGAAACCACCCCTGCCTTCAAGGGGTTTATATATTATTAGATAAGATAAGCTGTACATATAAAGTCAAATAAACACAACATTGGAGGAGAGGGTGATGCCAGGTTAAGGCATTGGACTTCAATCCATAGTTGACAAGGGGCCAGTGAATTATCAGGAGATGGATGTGGTCAGATCTGTGTGCTAAATTTAAGCTAGCCATGTGCACTAAATGGATTGGAGAGGAGAGGGGGAATGCAAGGAGATGAGTTACAGCCCAAGTGATTTGGAATCCAATGATGTGGCCTTGAGTCTTAGCTCTGCCACCTGAGTCTCTCCCTCCTTAAAACAAACAATCCAAAACAAAAAATCCCTCCCTTGATGCTACCATACCTATCAGCTAGCACTCTGTATCTCTCCTCCCCTCCTACAGAAAGTTGTCTACACTAGGTACCTCTATTTCCTCTCTTCCCACTCTCTTCTAAACGCTTTGCAGGGGCCATCGCCAGTCATCCTGACCCATTCAAAGGTGGGGCCTTTGACTGTCATAGGGCCACACTTGAGGACCTAGAGGGTCACATGTGGCCTCGAGGCTGCAGGGTCCCCATCCCTGAATGTCTTACCACTGGACTCCAATGACTCTGGAGGAGAGAGTGAGGCTGGTGACTGCACAGCTCTGCCTCACTTAAATCCAATTCACTTGCAAGTCAAGACATCTCCCTCCTGATGTCATTGGTCCTCTTCCAGAACGAAGGATGAACAACAAGCCCTTTGCAATCTGACGTCTGACGTCATCATTCCACTGGACCAGCTCTCTACAAAGTCTCTTAATTACCCAATCCAGTGGCTTTTTCTCAGTTCCCACCCTTCTTGACTTCTCTTGCAGCCTTGGACACCACCAATCACCCTCCCTCCTACCCCCCCCACACTCACACACACACACACACACACTCTCTCTCTCTCTCTCTCACACTCACACACACACTCCTTTTCTAGGTTTTCCTCATGCTTCTCTCCTGGTTCTCCTCCCACTTCTCTGACTGTTCCTTCTCGGATCTCCTTTGCAGGTGATCTCATCCACTCATATGGGTTCAACTATTATCTCTATGCAGATAATTCCCATATCTCTATATATCTAGCCCTAATTTCTCTCTGGAATATCAGTCAGTACTACTAAATGCCTCTGTACCTCAACAGAACTCATACTCTTTCTTCCCTATGCCCAGCTCCCTTTCTGACTTTTCTGTTTCTGTCAAGGGCACCCCAACCTAGCCACCTGGTCTTGCCACTTCAATGTCATCCTCAAGTCCCTCACTCATGCTCACCCCACATATCAAATCTGCTGTCAAATTTTGTTTTTACCTTGACATCTCTGGTATCTGTCCCCTTCTCTCTCTTTCTCATATAACCCTTGTACAGGACTTCATCAGCTCTCACCTGGATTGTTATAAATAGCATTGGGCCCCCTGCCTTAAGTCTCTCCCCACACCAATCTATCCTCCACTCAGCTGCCAAAGTGGTTTTCCTAAAGGGATCTGACCATGCCACCCCCACCCCCACTCAATAAACTCTGGTGTCACCTTATTACCTTTAAGATCACATATAAAATCCTCTGTTTTTAAAACCCCTCACAACTTCACCCCTTCTTACCTTTCCAGATTTTTACACATTATTTCCCTCCATAAATTCTACGATTCAGCTGCATTTGCCTACATCCTGTCCTGAAGGCACAAAAAAAAAAATCCATCTCCAGATCCAGGGCTTTTGCACTGGCTGTAGCTCATGTCTGGAGTGACCTCCCTTCTTACCTCCAACTCCTAGTTTTTTGGCTTTCTTCAAAATGCAGTTCAAATCTCACCTTCTGCAGGTCTGTCTCTGCCTCTCCCCTCCTCTCCCCCCTCCTTACTGCTAGTACCTGGAGCTCTGAGATTACCTTCAATTTGCTCTGTAAATATCTTGTACCCACAGTTGTTTGTATGTGGTCACCCCTATTAGAATATGAGCTCCTTGAGAACTTGGACCGGGTTTTGCCTTCCTTCGTAGTTCCTGGCACATAATAAGCTCTTACTAAATGCTAGTTGGTTGACCGACTGACCTTAGACAAGTCACCTCCCCTCTTTGGACCTGTTTCCTGGCCTTCAGAGTGAGGAGTTTGGACAAATAAAAGACCTTCCTAGTTCTGAATCTGTCTTGTGACCCAATAGGGAAAGGAATTGGGCTGTGGGTTGGGTAACTGTGGGCAAGGACAAGATGGGAAAGGGGAGGAGTCAGATATTACAGAGCAGGGTGACTGCGGAATCGGTGGGGCCTCAGGCAAAAAAGGGGAAGTCCCTATCGGAGCCAGAAGCTGGTTTTTGTTTTGGGGGGGAAGGTGAGGGCACACTCGGGGTAGGTAGTGAAAGTCAGGAAGTTTGGGGTCGTACCTTTGCCTATCATATTTAAGGGTTGTGAGTCTCTGAGATTACGTCCATTCTCTGGGCCTCAGTTTCCTCATCTGTAAAACGAGGATATTAACACTCGCCCAACCGACCCGTTTCTGTGTGAAGAGCACTTTGTAAACTCTAATAGCCTTGGAAATGAGAGACGGGAGGGCTCATAAGGGCAACGATTGTTTTGTGGGGAGATGGGACCGGGAGGGGCTGTCCAAGGGATGAGGGGAACTTCCCAACGTCCTGGAGAAGTCGGGCCGGCACAGCCGGGTTAGGGGGGGATGGGACAGTGCTCCTGGGCCCGGGGCCAGGAGCGGGTCGGGGCGGGAGCCCGGAGAAGCTGGGGCTGGAGGGAGTAGGGGGAAAACAGGCTGAGCCCACATGACTGCGGGGAGCCCCAGGCAGGGAGACAGAGGGCGGGGCCAGGCGGCGGGGCCCAGGTGGGAAGCCAGGGAAGGGGGAAGGAGCTGGACTGGACCTGGGGGCGGGGCTGCTGAGGACTTGAAAGGGGAGGGACGAAAGAAGTGGGGCGGCCGGGAGGTGGAGCCGAGGGCCTTGCAGAGTCGAGGCGGGTCTAGAGGGGGCGGGGTGAGATGGGGGCAGACCTGGAAGAATGGGGATGGGGAGGGGGAGGGACTAGAAGGGGAGGGGTCTGAAGGAGGAATGGGGTTCTTGGGGGCGGGAGTGGGAGGAACTTGGAGGGGTTGGGGTGCTGGGAAAGAAATGGGGGACCTAGAGGGAGAACTTGGAAGGGATGGGGGTGTCGAAGAAGGAATGGGGGACCTTGGGGACGGAGCGAAAAGGGGCTGGGGTGGGGGTCTGCGAGAGAAATGGGGGACTTGGGGAGGGAGTGGGAGGAACTTGGAGGGGGTGGGAGTGGGGGCGGGGCAAGGTGGGGGCCAAGGGCAATGGGGACTTGAGGGGGCGGATCTAGCCCGGCTGGGGGTGGAGGAGGGTGCTCGCAGGGGCTGGCCGTAGGAGGAGAGAGGCGGGGGTGGGGCGGGCCCTCGGACTCGGACTGTGCCCAGGCAGGGCAGCTAGAGGCCGCCCGGCGCAGCGCGCTTGCACCGCTCCGTCGGACCCTGCCGGCGCTGCTGGCCGTGCCCCCACGTCCTGCGTCCCGCGCCCCGGGCCGGACCCCAGACCCAGCCATGCCCGAGCAGCTCAGCGTCGCCGAGTTCCTGGCGGTCACCGCGGACGACCTCAGCTCCCAGGGCGGCCCCGCCGCGCTTGCCTTCGCCGCCAAGATACCCCGATGCCGGGGGGCGGTGCTGGCACGGGAGGAGGTGAGGGGGAGACGCTGGGACTGGGAGGGGGGCGTGTCCCGCCCGAAGGGTCCCTCCCTCTTTGGGGGGCCGGGTGGAGGGCTGGAGCCTGACCCGGACACCTCCTGGGCCTGCCGGGCCGGTCCGTGCCTGGCATGTGCCCCAGCCTCTGCGCATCCGAGAGCAGGTAAGATCATCCAGAATGGGAAAGCCCAGGGCGCCCCAAGCTGTCTCGGGCTGGGGACAGTTCATCGGATTGCAGATTCAGAGATGGAGGGAACTTTAGTGACCATCTCGGCCATTTCACAGACCAGAAAACAAGCCCAATGACTGACCCAAGGTCATCCAGGTAGTTAATGGCACAGCCAGGATATCCAAACTCACGTCTTCTGGCTACAAACTCAGTCCTCTTTTCACTAAACCCAGCTGCGTCTTGCCCACTGAAGGCTTGAGACTTCCTCTTCCTTGAAGCCTATCAGATTAACTCCAGCCCGTGGTCATCTTTCTGAATTCCCCTCCCACTGACTTCTCTGTCACAGTAGTGGACAGAGCACTGGACCTGAGTTTAAATCCTGCCTCTGATCCTTAGTAGTCATATGACCCTGGACAAATCCTTTAATTTCTCACAGGTTGTTTCCTCATTGGTAGAATGGGGATGATAATAGCATGTACCTTCCAGGGATTTTGTGAGGTCAAATAAGATAGCAGTTCCAGGGTGCTTTGCTAATCTCAAAGTGTTTTCAAAGTACTAGTATTTGTTTTTTTTCCCCTTCTTTCACCAACTACTGTCAGCGACGTGAGGGCAGGATCCATGCCTTCCTCTGGTTTAGTTTTCTTTCATTGTTCTTTTTGTTGACATTGTTGTAGTTTTATTTACACATATTATTTTCTGGTTCTGCTTACTTCATTCTATATCATTTCATAAAAATATAACAGTAGGCATCAATGAACGAATGCTTCATTGTCCACTTGGTAGTCTCTAGGAGAGTGCGACAGGGATCTGTGCTCAGCGCTTGTCAGTTTTGTCCATGACTTGGAGAAAAGCATGCATGCACTCCAGATTCGCAGGCGACACAGAGTTGGGAGCACTTAGCTGACTCCCTGAATGATAGTCAGGATCCAAAAAGAAGTATCCATTTATATTTATGTATATTCATGTGGGGAGGGGAGGGGAGGGGAGGGGAAGGAGGAAGCCCTTAGAATGGGGTATAGGGAAGGATGGCAGGTTAGGCCAGAACAATGGGCTGAATCTAACAAGATGAAATTAAATAGGGCTATATAGATCATACATTTATCACTGGAAGGTGCTTTATAGATCATCTTATCCAACCTCATCATTTTAGAGTTGAGAAAAATGGAGACCCAAGGACATTAAGCGACGTGCTAAAGATCACACAGGTGACCTCAGGACCTCAGAATATCTAAATCCATCATGTTTTCCGCCATGCCATGAGGCATCCTTAGTACGTTTCACTTTTCCAGGTGGTCACTGACTACTTTTCTGTCCCACCTCACACAATGACCATCCTCAGGAGATAGTGAGCCTTGGGAGGTAGTGAGCTCCCCATCACTAAGGCCTTCAAGTGGCCAGCCAGTGGACTGATTGCCAGGTAAGTTATAGAGCAGATCTCTGCTCAGGTTTGGGTTGCACCACGTTTCTAGATTAGAATCTATTCCCCCCCCCACCCCAAATGAAAGGGTCTAAAATTCTTGCTCTCCATGCCCAAGAGAACTGAATGTCATCAAGGAGAAAAACCAGCCCGAGGACTTTCACTGGGTGCTCCCTCTGCCAGATTATTTGTTAAAATATTAAATAAGCTTCATTCCAGCCCCCATCCCTGGGAGGCTACACTATGAATACTTCTCTGTAGACAGAACTGTCCATTTATACTCACGCATAAGGCCTACCCTATGCGTGTGGGCCTTTCCCTCTGTGTGCTAGGGGAGGGGAGGGGAAAGAGGCAGCCTTTAGCATGGGCTGCTGAGAAAGACAGCAGCATCGGCAGGTTGGGACCTTGTTTTCTATGCCCTAGTTCAAACCAGGCCAAGCTGGTCCCCAATTTGGCTTGGGAACTTGGCAACTTTTCAGTAAGTATTGTCTCTACCTCCTCTCTTCTGACAAAACCTGAGGACACGGGTCCCATGTAACCGTCTACCTGATGGGATGCCAGGAGTAGGGGCAGAGAGGTACTTTTTGCCCCAGTGATGCTTTCAGTCCATCCCTTACTGCCATCCTTCCATGATCTTGGTGATCCATCCGTTTCTACCCCTCTGTCCTTATCCCACTTTCCTAAACTTATCACTACCAAAACATTTGCTCAGCCCATTGGTGACATTAGCACGTGGCTCACGGGTCTTCCTTCCTGGCTGACCCTCTCCCTTCCCATCATCCTCCCTTTCCCCCAACCCTCATCCTTGGAACTTCAGTATTTATGTTGACATTCTCTCTGACAATATGACCTACCTCAGCTACACTCAAACGATAACAGCTTTAATTATCCATTCAATCTACAAGCATTTATTAAGCACCAGCTATGTTCCAGACATTGTATTAAACATTGAGAGGAAATGTCAGAGGCCATCTAGGCCAAAACCTTCATTTTACAGAGAGGAAACTGAGACTTTGGGTGTCTCCTTGACTTACCTATGGTCACACAGATTTTCAGGCAGCTAAGTTGGGATTTGAACCTAGATTCAAAAACATAAACCCGGCTACATCTTAGCTCTTTCTATCTCAGGATTGTCCTATTTCCATGACCCAGAACTTTGAAGTACCACTCAACCACCGGCCGCCTCCAGTCCTTCCACCTTTCTCCCTCTAATTCAACTATCATTTATTAAATATGTATTATGTGCTGGTTCTGAGAATTACAAAGACAAAACAAAAACAGCCCTTCCCGTCAAAGGAGGTTACATTTCGATTGTAAGGGGGAGAGGGAAATCTTGAAAACCTCTAAATGTCAGCAATTATTATTATTATTATTATCATTATCCCAATTTTCCTGGTCCAGCCTCTCAGTGTTGGCTTCATTTTTCTCCTTGAGCACATAGTAGGCCCACACGCATGTATCCCTAGCTACTAAGCTGTGCATCGTCCTTGACCTTGGAATCCTCGTCTCTGGGTAACCCCTCCACCCTGACGCCTGATGTCTCTGCTTCCGTTCCCAGACAGTTCATGAAATCGTGAAATTAAGCCGGTTTCACCCACCACAGATTCATGGTACCTCACCCTCAGCTGGGCCTTGACTTCTGCTCAAAAATCCTCCCTCTTTTATCTTTCTTGGTTCCTTATCTCCTTCTCTTCTCTAGAGATTTGTTCCAAATCTTCTCTTCTCTAGTCACCAACCCCACTTCCATCCCCAGCCCACCTGCTGAAAAGATTGAGGCTATCTGATATGAGCTCATCCTCTCACCTCCCTCCCTTTCCCTCCCTTTCCCTCCCCCTCGCCTCATTCCTTGAGCCTCAGAGGCATCTCCCCCTTTAGTCCCAGAAAAAGAAACAGCCTCACTCCTCATTAAGGCTCGCCCCTCTACTTGGACCCTTGTTCGTAGGCTTCTGATGCTCCCAGACCCTTATTCCAGCACTCCTTCTCAGGCCCCTTCAGGTTCACCCTCGACCTTGACTCTTTCCAGTCTGACAACAGACGTGTTCAAGTCTCAAAGGCTCAGAGCCTCAGTTTCCTCATTTCTAAAGTAGAGCTAATAAGACCTACTCTGCCTCCCTCACAGTTATCTCAAATGAGGATTCTTCTGTGACCTTTAGAAGTCTCTTCATATCTCTAAGCCTCAGTTTCCTTATCTGTAAAGTGGAGCTAGTAAGACCTATCCTCTTGACACTTACTAGCTATGTGACCCTGGGCAAGTCATTTAACCCCAACTGCCTCACCAAAAAGCAAAAAAAAAAAAAAAAAAAAAGACCTACCCTGACTCACTCAAAGGGTTGTGTCTCAAGTGAAGATTCGTCTGTGACCTTTAGAAAGTCCCTTAATGTCTCTGAGATTCAGTTTCTTCTTCATAAAATGAAAATAATAAGACCTACCCTGCACACCCCTAAGGGTGGGGCTAGGAGACCTTATTCTTTTAGGATATCTGAGGATGCTGAGGCTTGGGCTGTCGATCTGTTGTCTCTCATTCTTTTTTTTTGAGGCAATCAGGGTTAAGTGACTTGCCCAGGGTCACACAGCTAGTAAGTTTCAAGTGTCTGAGGCCAGATTTGAACTCAGGTCCTCTTGGCTCCAGGGCGGATGCTCTATCCACTGCACCATCTAGCTGCCCTTTGTCTCTAATTTTCAATACAGTAATGGTTCATATAATAAGAGTAGTTATCATAATTAATATTGATCCATAAACACATAAGAGCACCATTTTTAATAGATGATGCCATAGCAAATGCTGCCAATTTCCAAGGTGCGTAGAAGAAAAGCTTTCATAATAGAGGGACGTAGCAGGAAACAATCCAAACATGATAAGGTGCATAATACCCATCTCATCCTGCCGTCCACTGGACCTGTATCGAGGATGCTCTCAAGGATTAGTTTACATCCCAGTGCTTGATTGTTCAACCACTGAAAGCAGCCATTTTACTTACCTGCTCAAGATTGCAGAATATTGAATTTGGAAAAATCATAGGAGGAAAATGACTTGTCTCATTTATCCATCAAAAAGGGTGAGGCCATTATTCTATTATAGTAATAGTTTAAGAGCTTTGTGATAAGAGATGGCTTTCTGGAAGGGAGGAGAAGAGGGGAAGTTGGGTGAAATTTGGAGGTTGTAAAAACAAACTTATTGATGAAATATATTTTTAAAAAATTTAATGCTTTTTAAAAAAAAAAAAACCTTTATGGATTTACAAAAATGCATTCCTTTTTTCCCCTGCCCACCCCCCAAAAAGGCTACAATTGAGTGTAGATATATTTCTCTATAGCTATATATACATATATACACATATATACTTATATATATATATATAGACTTTCCCAAATAAATTCTACTCCTGATCTCTGTTTCTGTTTGTGCATATC